TCAACAGCAAGTAACAGCTACACCTCCTGTTCAAATACTGCAGAATTTGTCTTTGTCAGTTTTTCAGCAGATCACTGTTGTGTCTGGACAAATTTTGGCCAATTTTGGAAGATAAGTTTATGCATTAATGGTCAAACCTGTGTTGCCTGGAATCTCACAGTGTCTCTCAATGTAAATCTAAATCAGTTACAATTAGAAACACAACAAATGGCTATTCTGCAGCTGTTTCTTATACAAGGTTTCAAACAAGATCAAGTTAATCAGAGCAAATAATTATGAGTTTTTTATCTTTCAGTCATGTAGTAGGTCTGATGCTAATAAAAAGGATCTCAATAAACTTCAGTTAGCCCAAAATAACACTGCTAGACTTTTTCTCCACTCTTCATATCATAGTACTGTAGTAGTATTGATATCCATACCAGACTGTCTGGGCCCCCAGATGAAATCAGATCACATTCCCATTTGCTTGTTTTAATGAGGAAATCTATATTTTTAGTTGTATCTGAATCTTTTTCAGCTCTATGTTGGCCAAGCACATACATACCCCACTCGTTTTGTGGATAGACAAGAAGTTGTTATCCCTAGAGCCATGAATAACTTCTTAAAATACACCGTTATGTGCAGGGTTTTTGTGGAATGTAGGACGTTCTCAACGCTTACTTAAATGCATTTTTCTGTGCTTGTTTGGCACAATTTTTGCTTTTTAAACTTGCATGGTTGTACATATGTTTAATGTGGACATTTTTAATGTTGGGGAAAGAGGCTAATTGGGATCCACCAAAATAAACAAATTAATGGAACTAAAACTGCATTAAAATGTTGATGGATGGAGTTAACTAAATATGACTAAAGCACACATGGACTTTTGATCTCAGGACTAAGACTACAACCAAATTAAGAATAGAAAAAAATACAAATTACCTGGTGACATATGGTGTCAAAAAAAATAAATACAACTGGTAATAAGACAAAATGTCAATTTGGAAAATGGAAAAATAAATCTCATGAAACTTTCAAGAGTACAGCAACATTAGCCTACACACTGGGCTACAATCATAAATTTCTCCTGTCCAAAAGTCAGAAATTATTTGATTATAGAACTACTCACCTTTTTACGATTTTAAGATGATGAGTTAAAAAATAGCCAAACCCAGATGTTGGAGCTGACAGATTGTTGGTCCAAGTGTCAGGCAGGATGTGGTGGTCAAGTCACATTGCACACGAGCCACTCAGACACCAGCTTTTATTGACTCTGGTAATCAGGAGCTTTAGGCACCAGTTGACTCCCTCCTTATCTCCCCTCCAGTATCAGCTCCCCCCTCTGTTCCCGGAACTCGCCACCACCTTATCACCATGAAAGGACTGGATCACAGTGATTACATCAATGTGGGCTTTTATTTGGACCTTTTTTTTGTTTGAACCTTTTAAAATACATATCTATTATTTGAACAGGGCGTCACTGGGAGGGTAAAGACTTGCTGGGTAACGCTACAAAACAGAGTGTAAGGAGGAGCAATACGCAAATTAATTCACTAACCATGAAATTAAAATTGCTGCTAAGTGATAGAAAATCAAGACAACCACAAAAATATAATGTAATTAATTTGCATAGGGTTTTTACTCACAGTGAATTAGTGATTTGAATTCTTTTAAATGGCTTTGTCTATTACTGAAGTCAGTACACAAGGATAGATAAAAGTTTAAATGTATTTAGTAAGTGATAATAGTAGTAACAGTTAGTCATAGTGGTAGCATGCAAAAATAACAAATAATAACAGTTAGGCAGAAACAGTAAAAGCAAGGCCATGGAGTCAACACTGGGGGCGACAAATGAAATGAATGAATGAAACTGTCTATGTAAATTAGACAAGCTGCGCACCATGAATGATTGACACTTTATGTAGATGTCACTTGAGCTATCTGACAAGTATAACATTATAAAGACATAAAGATGTGTGGCTGCATAAGTGCAGGTAGCCAAGCTTTGATAGCTACTGTTAGTGATGGTTGATCCAGTGATCTGTATCCACTTAAAACAGTTGTTTCCACTCCATGAATTACTGACACGCTTTACCAAAATATTATTTACTTCCACAATTACAGTTTCAGTCTAAAATGATGTATTGACCTTGACATTATCTTTAATGCATGTCTTGAGTGAAGTCAAGTGTTACTGTTCGGTGTTATCATAATAAGTTTCCCATCAACAACTGATGCGAACATCAACAGATCATAACCTTTTTTTTTTTTACGATAATTTTTTGGGCTCTGATGAAGACGCTGTGCGTCGAAACGTTAGTCATTTTGCACCCTCATTAAACTTTTAATTGCGTAGAGTGCTCCAGTTTTCTTACTTCAGATTCAGTCTTTTTTGAAGTGACCCATCGGATATTGTTTATGGATTAGTTTTTGGGCGTTATACCTTGAATTGATAGGACAGTGAAGTGTGAAAGGGGGGGAGAGAGAATGAGTGACATGCAGCAAAGTGCTGCAGGCTGGTTAGAACCAGTGTATTTTGAGCATATTTGAATATAAGAGGGGATGTGTCCTCTCCAATACTCTCCAGTAATTACGGCCTTGAATGATACTAAGTACAAAAGTAAAAATAATGTTACTGGTATTCATAACGGTAGTTTTAGCTGTAAGGGTATTAGTGTATATAGTATAGTTATAGCCATTACAATGGTAGTAGTTTGCAGGTTGTACCAATAAAAGTGTCCTTAAAACAGTTTCTGTCAGCAGTCATATCAGTTTAATGAAATCAAATAAATGAGTATTTGCAGTAGCAGTATCAGTGCTCAGACTGGTATAGAGAATGAGTCAGAGCTCCAAACCAGCAGCCTGTGTAGTGTGCACCTGTAACTCTTATGCATAAGTGTAGGGATAAGCCAGGTACTCATATCTTACAAGTAAGTGTATATGTTTTTTTTTTTTTTTTGTCTGGGCACAAGTACCGAGGACCAACATCAGGAAAACACTCTGCAGGAGTGAGAATAATAATCCAAAACTGTGTTTTATAATTTAACATAAAAGTAATCTTTTAACTTATTCTTTCCCCCAGTATAGACACACACACACACACACACACACACACACACTACATGTATACCATTCAGTTTAGAAAGGCATTCAGTAGAACAAATACATGTTTGTACTGTTGTAATATAATTGATCTATTTTGGATATATCTGTCCCTGATCCATGACAGCAGGACTGTATACTGGTCTTTGATCAGTTAACAACTCTATATATTGATGCTAAAGGGCCAATTCATAGTTTCCACACCTTTGTGTCCATGAGGGTCTGCTTTGGTCTGCATGACGTAAATATTGTCATCTAGCAGTGTCCACGAGTGTCTGTACGAACCCCTGTGCGAATGTCTGCGTGCAGCCCACTTTTGTGAGCAGGTGGACTGTACACACAGCAAACGCACTGACTGTGCATGCTCCACTATTTTGTTTCAAACTCCAGTCCAGTCCAAAACTGCAGCCAAGCCAGCCGCAGCAGTCTCACCACGGTGAAGTCAGTTTCAAGTTGGATATTTGACAGACAGTTACTCCAGATACAGCAACGTCTTCAGTTTCACCAGTGCTAGCAGCAGGAGGATGGTAATCTCTCCTCCCAGCCCTCCAGTTTACTGCTGGGGGCTGACGCAGACCCTCAGTTATACTATAAATAAAAACTTGTGCGCTTTTGCCTGGCTGCAGCTGTTTGCAGATGTTCAGTGTGGAAAGTATGTCTGAGCCTTAACAGTGCATCTAACACGGGTCATTAGTTAGCCAAATATAATCACTGACAAAGTATTTAAACTCCTGACCACTCTTCACAGCCACAAGCAGCTGTTTTATAAATGAAAACTTCTCCCTGAAGGAGAAATACCATCAGGAACACAGAGTTTTTAGACCTCTCCTCTGATAAAACACAGCCTCTGTGACACACATTCAGAATGATTAAACAGCAGGCAACTGCCAAATGAATAAGGACTGACTCACTGGTTTGCCTTGATATGAGAAGAAAGATAACAACACCAATTCCACACTCTAAAACTTCACCAGCCAGCTAAATCCAAAGAGAACAGTCTATAAATCTCCACAAGATGAATGAAAAATCATTTGTTTTCTTTAAAACACGGGAAGTTACAGATTTCTTTTGTTCCCCTGTCCTTTTATTGTCCTTTTATCTTGTCCCTTATTTCATATACATGAATGGTCTACTAGCATCACTGTTTAATTTATAGTTTAGTTTTGTTCTATGGAAAAGCTGCTAGAAGAATAGCCATACCCGTCCCAGACCAAACAAGCTCAGAGCACTTGTTGCAGCTTTCTGTTGACATTGAGTGGCAGCTTACTGCAGGCTGCACTTCACCCCTGCTTGGTGTATTTCTGGTATTACTGCAGCTCAACATGATAAATATTGTTGAGCTGCGGTAACAGAAGTGTAAAGAGGTCCAGTGTAACCTACACATGGTGTCTGCATGTCCTAAAAAAATCTTAAATTGTCTTAAATAAATTTTATATAAAATAAAAGTCATTAAGTAGTCATTGAATTAATTTTGTAAGGTCTTAATTGTCACAAACATTTAATTCATTTTTACATTTTTAAATTTCTTTCTGTCAAAATGAGTCAAGCTCTCCTGTGTGAAATCCACATTTCTGATGTGATACATTTGCAGCTCACTCCAACAACCATATCCTAACATAAAGCCTACCTTTGCACAAGACAACATATTTACGACTTACCTTTATGCTTTAGGTGAAAGCAGAAGTTAGCTAAACAAATGCACGAGTCATTTCTAAAAGCAAATCGTAGGCGTAAAATATTTATGGCATGTTTTATGTTTTATAGGATTGTTATAATTTTTAGGGGAAATGTTGGTGTTCACAAATACAAAGTTGATACTGTGATGTTGTTTGGATTTGACTGGGGTGAAAGTGGGGCTAAGGTCGCAGCAGGGCTGACCCATGTCTCTTTATATTGCTGACATAATGATGCCCGGGCAGGAAAAGGTATGAACAATCTGTGTCAGATGGGTCACTGATGCTTAATGTTTATTTTGTATTCAGCCTGACTGCCTCTGAGACGTCATCGCTCATGTCCTTTTTGGTTTGGCCGAGCTACTTTGGTGCATGCTTTGTTGTTTGAGTTGGTTATTTGCAAGTGTCAGTTTTTTATTGCATCTCCAGCTCTTCATTTGGTGCCAGTGTCTTGTGTTTTGGTACAGATGTGTGAGAACTCTGACTCTGTTTTTTTAATTAATTTCATTTTATCATCTACAGTACATATTTTCTCAGCGTGTACCGGTGCTTCCACAGCTAAATGTTCTCTTCATGTTCCTCTCCAGATACCAATCAGGCTCTGCGCCTCTGTCTGGGTACCAAGGCAACTGGAGCAGAGTTTGGTGCTGTCTCTGCCCTCAGTATCAACCATGACTGCTCACGCCTTCTCTGCGGATTCGCCAAAGGACAGGTATATACTCAGATACACATGCATATAATCACAGGTTTGTGTACTGGGTGTTGATTAGAGTTTTAAAGTTCAAAAGGGTAGACACAGGACACAGGACACTGATGAGTCTAACAGCAGCTTGTTAAAGTTCAGCAGGGTGGTGTTGAATACTGTATGTGTTGTTTGGTCTGTGGCAGCTTGTCCTGAGTGCTGAGTGGTGCTCTGACAGAGACGATGGTTGTGACTGAAATTCTCAGGCTGTCGTCCAAATGACTGATACTTCTCGAAGGAACATGTTTGACTTGGTGTTGATTATCAAAATACTTTATGCAGTTCTGTAGCTAGTGAGCACATTGTTATTGAAGACCCTGTCTTCTTGGGAGGCATCATTTAATTGGCTGAACATCGGTATCGCCAGAGGACAGGTATAGCAGGGCTTTACACCAACTGTGTCTTGTCATTCTGGGTACAATAAACAACATGTTTAAGAGAAACAGAGATCTTCCCCGGGATTCTGTCGGGACAAAAACACGCAGTAAACTCACTTTTAATGCATCAGCGGATGCAGTCTGTTGTTTCCCTGATAATGCCACATTGTGAACAATGAATCTGTGTTAAAATTGGCAGGAGGAGAGCTTGTTAACGTTAGCTGTTAGCAGCCAGTGGAGTTACATTATGATGCGTTCAAGCTCTCATCAGTAAAAATTAGTATTAGGCGCAGGGAAATTGTTACATTCTCATGATGTGTTCAAATGTTATCTTGTAAAATTTGGATTTTGTTGAGAAGCTTGAATACATTTGGCTGTTTGAAGGAGAAATTTGTTGATGTTTTAGAGAGGGAATTATGATGTATTATTTTTAGTTTAAAGACTTTTGAAGCAGTTATTTTTTAAAAATGTTTGTCATGTGAAAGTAGGTTATTTTAAGGTTGTTTCATGAAGGTGTATTATTGAATTTGTGCTCATTCAAAGGTAGTGTAGTGAAGGACTGAATGGCTTTAAAACTGTTCAGTTTCCATTTATTTCCCTGACACAACAAGGGGAAAAAAACACAATATAACATAATAACAACGTAATAAATAACAACTCAGAAACATTGGTATTGACTATCAGCCAAATTATTATCTTAAACATCGGTTTTGGTATTGTCCCAGAATTTCACAATCAGTGCATCCCGGCTATTTTCCTACGTTAAAGTGTCTAAGTGACTTGTGGGAACAACAATTTTAGAAATTGGTCCAGGATTTAGAGAGAGCGCTGCAGCCAGCAGTGGTGAAACATGCTGCATTGTCACCACTCTGAGCAGGTGTGCCACATCATTTTGCTTCCATTGAAAGTGCCTGTTTTTGCCAGTGACAGGTTCAGACTGTTATATAAGTATCTTACAACAGTACAGAAAGGACCCTACAAAGAAATGAACCTTTTTTTGTACGTTACATTACTCATTCCATTCTGTTTTGTGTCCAAGTCATACTGAAGTACAATTTCTCTGACTTTTTCATATTGTTGAAATCAGCTAAATATTCAGCCATGATGCTGGAAATCACGCTTCCTGTACTCTAACACAACACACTACTACTGACACTCCTCTCGCCAACTCTCACTCCTTTCTTCCTGCAACAAGTCACCCCTCATGAGATTTAAGAAAAAAACTTCTTCTTTAGTGAGACTTGATGGTGGAACATATTCAAACTGTTGGACCCCTTTTTGATGGTATGCTTTGGGAATTGGATATCCATCTTATACAACAACCCCCTGGTTATTTTGTAGATATCCAAAATGCTCCCTCTGACATTTATTTACTCAGGAGGAGAGGAGATACCACCGGCATCGCACACACTAACAACATGACTCGCTTTGTTTTCACAGGGCAACATGCAGGAATCGGAACACCATAGATATGATAGCTTCTACAATTCGTGTAGTTATGAAACTGTGACATAATATAATTATTATGCACACCCTAACCTGTTTCATTATTTGTTAACACAGTAGCTGACAGGAAATAAACAGGGACCAAAGCTGTTCCCTAGCAACAGAATATTATATGAAAAGATCTGTAAGTGTACAGTAGAACTGTAGTACAACTGCAGTGGCCACACATGCTGGCATTTACCATTTAAATGCACTCAGACATGTTACAGCACTTCATGATGGCTTGAACCACAATCTTTTGGGTGATGGGCAGTATACTTGGTTATGAAAAGAATTGACAGCTGTAATCATCACACATGTTTTGACCCCTGGGGCCATATTCACAAACTCTCTGAGAATACTCTTAGAGAGCTCCTAACTTAGCCTAAACATTTTTAGTAAGGAGTCTTAGCTTAGGAGTGATTTAGGAAAGTTCCCAGAGCAGCTCTGACCAAGGAAGGGACAGAAACTTTTACCTTAGTGAGGAGGAGTGGTTGACTGTGTTGCTAGGTATGACTCATTCTTTTAATGGATGTGATTGGTTGTCACAGACTCACCCTTTTGCGAGCCTGCAAAGTGTGGACACCCAGTGGAAATGAAATGAACTGCTGACTGTGAAGGTGTTGTCATTGTTAGTGTGATCACTCTGCTGATGGAAGGTTGAGACAGACTACAGTAATCACTGCTGCACTGTTGCATTTTTCCAGTTTTCCAAATATTTTATTGTTGTGATTATTTATATTATAGCGTTAGGTGGGGATGTGTGCGTATCTCTTATGACGTTAAACACACATATTTATCCCTACACAGTCTAATCTGTAGCATTTCATTTACTCAATGTCATCCAGCATTTGGAGAATATTTCTCCAACCTCTTTGTGTTTCCACCATTTTCTCCTCTGCTTAGGAATCTCCTAAGCCTCCCTGCTCCTAACAGTTTTTCACCTTAGGAGCTCTTTTAAGGCCTAAAATGCTCTGTGAGCATTGTGTTCTAAGCAATGTCACAATTCTAATAATTTTCTTAGAATTTCATCACTAGGAGAAACTCTTTGTACTAGAAAACTTTGTGAATACAGCCCCAGTTTTCTACAGCAGGCTTTGTCACTCAGCATGATTTCCTCTAACTGTTCTCGTCAAGTGCCCATTTTTGTTAAGTTTGGTCTCTGACAGCACCCTCTGACTTGGAAGTGGTGGAGGGAGTGCTGCAGCCTAGGTGACTCAGGTATTCATCAGGTATTCATCTTGGTCCTGATCAGTGTAATACAGTTCTAATTTGTAGACATGAACTCTTTAATGTATATTAAGTTTTCTCTGAATTAAACACACTCATGCTTTCCTCGCAGTATTTTTAGCGGTGGTATAATTCTTTACATGTAGATAGTATGATAGTAAAATTTAATTTTTTTTATTTTTTTTTAATTTTAATTTTCAAAAAGATAATGATACTTTTAATGATTTCTGACATGGAAATTAATTCCCTGTCAATCAAACGATTTATTATTTCAGTGCTGCGTACAATCAAAGTTACAAGCTTAGCCATTTATCCCTTCAATTGCCTTTGTTTATTGTTTGGTGTAATACATTTTCTCTACTTTGGTGCCTTTTTGTTGGTATGCTGTTTTTGTTTGTTTTGTTCTGATTCTGTACGCTGGGTGGCAGTAACCCACAGAGGGACTGCATTTATGTTGCAGCCAGGTGTGTTGCCTGCTAAGGGCAAGCATACTGTTTTTTTCATGGTGCCAGTGGTGTCTGCAGGTACTGTAGCAGTACCTTAAAATGTAGTTGGGCTACTAAACTGTGGGACTTATGATTTCCTACTTGGATGCAAGAAATCATTTTAAACAGTTGTAAGTAATAAATGAAGAGACATGAAGAAAGGGCAAACGATTGTGGACATTTCAGTTTGTGTGTTACAGCTGATGCGTACAGCACGCGTCACGAGTGACTTAATGGAAAGCCAACTTAAGAATTTATTTCAGTGACTAAATCTGATTGATTGTAATTAAAATGACAGAAAAGTGTGTTTACCTCTTGTACTTTTAATTCTGAACAATGTTTCCTACTCCATTTGTCTGTCTGTCTTCATGGTCTTCATGGTTAGATTACAATGTGGGATCTAGCAAGTGGGAAGCTCCTGAGAACAATCACTGATGCCCATCCTCCAGGGACAGCTATACTGCATGTGAAGGTACACACACACACACACACACACACACACACACACGTAGTGGCCTCTCTTTATCGGGGCATGGCTGTATGTTTTAGTAGCTGCAGTCAATTCTTTTCCCATACACAACCATTGCAAAAGAAACGGCTTTAAAACAATAAAGCAAAATTCTTTTGCTCGTGTGTGTCACGCACCCTCAAAAACTGGTGGCACCTGAGATGGATCCCTGATTATTTTCATCTGATCTTTGTCCCTTGTTATCATATCCCTGTTTTTGTGTCTCTAGTTCACAGATGATCCAACTCTTGCAGTGTGTAATGACAGTGGTGGATCCGTTTTTGAGCTTGCTTTCAGGTAAATTATTTTAAATTTTAAGTAAATTAAATGACTTCGTTTTTTATGCCTCTTTGCCAGTGACAGTTGTGGCTGGAGTGGGCAGTGATCTCAATGTATTGTATTGATTATAATCTCATATTGCTTGTGTCTCTTGCTGTATGGACTCTAATGTAAAGCACATTGAAATGTGCTTTAAATACAACAAATAGCCTAGACTTTTTTCCAGAACATGATTGTTGTCCCAGTTTTAGTTTTGACTCTGTATTGTTGGATTTTAATTTAGAATTTGTTTGTATTATTTTGTTATTTATTATTATATCCACTCGACACTGTGATCTTGCGTCCGTCTCATTCCTCAGATTTGGCACAATCATCAACTTGGACTAAGGAATGAACTCATAGGAATTTGTTGGTCAAAGGTCACTGTGACCTCACAAAAGATGTTTTTGGCCATAAAAGAATTCATACGCAAATGATGACAAAAGGTCAGCTTCACTGGGACATCGTAATGTTCTGCAGAAACACTTTTCTGGCTGCTACACAGCATCATATTTCAGAAACAGAAGAGGAGATATTTGGTCAGATACTGAATTGGTGACACTAATCTTTAGTGTCCACTTTGAAACTGTGCTGATTGTATAGATCTTCTCTGCTGCCGGGGGGGAAGATGTGTGTGAAGCATCCGTGTTTTCACGGACATTGATATAAACTGTAAAAACTACTTGACTGATTCTCTGAGGCAAACAACTGCAAAGCAGTAATTCTAGTTTTCATTTACTTCTCCTCCTTCCTTTATTATCTCTATACTTTCTCTGTTCTTGTTTCATCTTTATTTGTTACCCTCTTTCACTCCTCTTCCCCTCTGTGTGTTTCTGTTAATGGTATGTGTTTGTCTTTATCTCCAGGAGGGTGATGGGGATGCGGTCCTGTGACTCGCGGTGTCTGTTTAGTGGTTCTAAAGGGGAGGTCTGCTGCATTGAACCGTTGCACGCTCCTCCAGACTTCAGAGACCATCCCATCACACACTACTCTCTGCTGGCCATGGCCTCTCTCACAAAGGTACACGAACACACACAGTTCCAGTCACAGTGTATCCTCCATTCTCTGCCTATCCACCCAGCTGTGTGTTAAGTTTGGGATGTTTTTGTCTTTTGATTTTCTCTCACCAGATTCTGGTTATTGGACTGAAGCCCTCGCTCAAAGTGTGGATGACTTTTCCCTACAGCAAGGTCTGTATATTTGTTTACCTGTTCATCTTGATGTTAATGAGCACATGTCGGCTCAGATTCATTGATACAATGAAAATTTGATAAGGTGTTATCAGTTAGAGTGAGTTCCTGAATGCACACATAGTAGGTGTTGTATATTGGATTAAAGGGTTCATCTCACAGAACTTCTTAGAAGTTATGGGTCATGTACCAACAATGAAATTTATGAGTGAAATTCTCTCAAAGTTGAACTGATGAGCAAAGGCAGGGAAAAGTATCAAAAAGTCCATCTCAAGAAACATCTCAAACCTAAATTGGACCAAAGTTTTCTTACCACTTGTCTGTGCTCTTAAAAGCTACTATACTGTCATGAAATAAATGAATTATGTGTTTGTGATGCCTCCACTGTCCCTGCTCAGGTGTTTTCGTGGCTAAAAAAAATAGAATGTATCCCACATGCAGCCTTAGCTCAACTATAGTGACAATTTGATCCAGTCAATTTATATTTGTTTTATATATCCCAAAATTACAAATCACATTTTTTTCTCAGTGGGCTTTAAAACTGGTGTAGCATACAACACCCTCTATCCTAAGATCTAGTGACCTAAATGTTATTACTAACACATTTGCTTTTTCTACTGTGACAAGTCAAAATGGCTGCTGTTAGAAAGGCCCTGTTGCTGACATCCATAAATCTCTGTGATGTTTATTAAAAGGAATGTGATGACTTGCTTCTATGATTTTGGTACTTCTTCTGTTCGTGCTGTTTGTGTGTCTGTCATAGTGGACATTTTTTTTTGCCACGTTGCAGTGAAAGATGTTTTCAGCCATATTTTCACACAGCTATGAACATTTGGAACATGACATTAATAGGTTAATTACTGATATGATGTATTGTGTTGTCTTTCACCAGTCTGATCCATCCAGTGTCCCTCAGCTGGCGTGGCAGTTTGTTCCTGTTCAGAAGACAGTCAACCCGATTCTGGCTTTTTGTAAAGGAGACACAGTCCACTTCCTCCTGGTATCTGCTCAACTCCCTCTTAACTTTAATATAGTAAAATTGAGATGCATTGACTGATCAGCCCGTGACCAGAATTGGTTGATTTTTAGCTTGATCTACCCAGACCGGTGACTGGCCGGGTGGTCTCAACTATAGCCAGTTTTGTGCCATCAAATTTACATTTATCCACTGCACAGTGGTTCATGTCACATGCACAGCGGCACAGACAGTAACCGCCTATCAACACAGCTGCTGCAACTTGTTCCCGTTTCCAGGTCATCAAATATTGATCGAATACAGAAAACGGTAACGCTGCATGCCCCCCCACTCTCTCCCCTTTCACGCTAAAAATGTCCAATCCAATAAAGACAAACAGCCAAAA